ATACAAAGAAAATGCCACTACTTGCCACCCTTTCCGTATTAGACTACAAAATGTCCAAATCACTAAAATAACGGACGGAAAATGGATAATCACAACGCCCGAACAACTAATTGTCTCAGCATCTTGTCCAAATTCTAAGGACAACGTACCGCTTCATGGTTCCTACCGAATCTACAAATGAATGCAGCTTACAAATAAAGTCAATTACTCTACGAACTTATAAGCCCAATCGTTTGACTTATGATGATGTATCCTTGCCTACACTGAATTTATCGATGAATTATTACCAAACAAAGGAGTTTGCTTTTAATCCACCTACACTTGACCTGAACTCCATCAACTTGAAGGAAACCAATGAAATTGCCACAACGCTTCAAGAACAGAAGAGACGACTACAAGAAATATCCAACCCAATGGAAATGCACCAAATAAATTTTTGGACAATTTTACTTTATTGTATTTTAGGAATACTATGCATTTTTACTGTCTATAAATTACTTTTGAAACATCGCCTTAAACGTGCCCAAAAAGCCTCGTTAGAAGACGATATTGTAATTTAACAATTTTACTTTTACTTATTTAGTTTAATCATATTTTTCTTTTAGCATTTTCTTTATTTTTTCCATTGTATAAAACCATACCTTTTTTGGTATGCTTTTAACTTAGGATGGAGGAGTTATATCCCGTGAGAACTCCAATTCAGCATTTATATTGTTCTATTCAGCTTATTTTTTATATTATCAAAGGAGTAATTTTTAGATTTAAGATAGTTCTTGTATTAGACAAATAAAGTTTTTTAAAAACGCTCTCTCGTGTACACCCCTCGTAAGTCATGGTAATATTTTATGTAAAAAAATTTGCCCTGAACTTAAATACTCATAAAATTAATAATATTTATTGAAATAAGCAAATAATAAAGGAATCTTTTAGAAAAACGCAAATGCATAAGTAAAAGATAGATAGGAGGTATTACCTAAGACAAAAAAAAGTAGGTATTGAGTAAACATGAACATAACATGGCCATTAACAAAACTTTTTGATTCTTTGTTAACGTGATTTTTTCAAATTTTGACAAATTTTCTATGTTAAAACATTGTTCTGTCTCTGAATAAATCTAAGATACCATTTCTTATTGGGCCATTTGTTTTCTGAAAGTTGAGGAGCCTAAAAACTTTGAACGTTTGTTCAAAGTTATGGGGAGTATTTGAAATTTATACGTTGGGTTATAAAATGTGCTCTAAAAAAATTATACGTTAAAATTCAATATTGCCCATATATTTAGTGTTCAATGAGGTCCAAGGGCACCCAATAAACCTATCTATAAAACAACTGTGTGGTCAGATATGAGCTAAAGTTTTCGCATTACAAATTTCCCAGGGTTTTTGGACAAACTGTTCAATGTTTCTAGGATCGATACGGTACATCGAGAGCTCAACAGAGCCAAAATGATATATTCGTGTAGGATTGACGGAATGTAACGAACAGTGTTTGCCGATATCATAAATTATATAGTCGTGAAGTTAAGGACAATATGTTTTTATGACTTTTGGTTCAAAGTTATATGACCTTTCAAAGTAGTAGGGTTCTACGATACTTGAGTAGAAATTATTATGTGTTAGTAGTTAATAACCCTGAAAAAGAGTGAATGCCTCATTACTTCCAAAACTCTGCAAAATCGAACTGAAAAAAAAAATTCAAGATTGTAGTCTGTGACTTTTCGTATTTTTCTCTGAAACTTGTTCCAACTCGTTCCAACTTCACAGCCATAACATTGTCCATTACTTTTTGGAAAGCTGATGCGTTCTTTAATCCAAAGGGCATTCTGTTGAATGTGTAATTCGTAATTTCTATTTTCTTCATTGAGTGCTATTTTTGGTATAGAAGTCTCATATATTTCAACTTGATACAATCATAACGTTTGCAAATGAGCATTCAGATTGATTAAGAGCAGTAACGCGCAATAAGCCAGTTTAACAATCATCCGACTAAGGCCGGAGTCTCATGCATCCTTTTTCCGATGAAAGATGTCCGAAAACCCTTCTATTCTGACATATTTTTATACGAATATGTCAGAAAAATAGCTATTTACCTAACAAGTGCGGAAAATGAATTTTTCCGCACGCGACTGCCGTTCACCGAACGACGCGTAGCGGAGTTCCGTGATGCAGCCGAGTGCGGAAAAATATTTTCCGCAAGTTTTAGGTACAATATTTTTCCTACAGGCGGAAAAAAGGAAAAATTTTTCTTTTTTTTTTTACATATCAGTGCGGTAAAATTTTTTCCGCACTGACAGCCATGCGGAAAAACTTTTTCCGCACTGATATGTCAAAAAAAAAAGTTTTACCGCACCGTGCGGAAAAACTCATTTTCCGCACGCATATCAGTGCGGAAAATCGATTTTTCCGCACGGCTGTAGGAAATAGTTATTTTCCTAACAAGTGCGCAAAGTGTTACTTTTCCGCACGCAAACACAGTTATACGAACGACGCGAAGCGGAGTTTGGATAAGTGTTTGCGTGCGGAAAAGACACTTTGCGCACGTGTTAGGAACTAAATTTTTCCTACGAGCTTCATATCAGGTAGGTAACAACAAAAATTTAGAAAAAAAAATTATTTGTTCAACTATTTTTAATTAACTTGAAGCGAACCTATGCAGTTATCAAAAAATTACATAACAAAAAAAAAATAACAGAAAATCATCGTCAGAGCCCTTTTTTTAAAACGTTTAAATTTGATGAGAAAGTTTGTAGATTCTTGCATATCAATAGAGAACAAATCTGACAATGTGTCAAAGTTAATTAAATTTGGTGTTTGTATAGATGTTGGCTGATATAGAAACAGAGGAAAAATTTGTCATCATTTGTCAACGTCGACAGGTGCCCTTATTGTTGCTTGACAATTATTTTTACTTTTCGGCACTCAGTGCGGATAAGGCCTGTATCCGCACTGAGTGCGGAAAAGTGTAACTTTGAGAACCGAAATGCGTGCGGAAAAGTACTACTTTGCGCACGCTCGTAGGAAATAGTTATTTTCCTAACAAGTGCGCAAAGTGTTACTTTTCCGCACGCAAACACAGTTATACGAACGACGCGAAGCGGAGTTCGGATAAGTGTTTGCGTGCGGAAAAGACACTTTGCGCACGTGTTAGGAACAAAATTTTTCCTACGAGCTTCATATCAAGTAGGTAACAACAAAAATTTTTAAAAAAAAAAACGATAATTTGTTCAATTATTTTTAATTAACTTGGAGCGAACCTACGCATTTATCAAACAATTACGTAACAAAAAAAATAATAATAAAAAATCCTCGTCAGAGCTGTTCATCTTAAAGCGTTTAAATTTGATGAGAAAGTTTGTAGATTCTTGCATATAAATAGAGAACAAATCTGACAATGTGTCAAAGTTAATTATATTCGGTGTTCGTATAGATGTAGGCTGCTAAAGAAACAGAGAAAAACTTGTCATCATGTGTCAAAGTCGACAGGTACACTTATTGTTGCTTGACAATTATTTTTACTTTTCGGCACTCAGTGCGGATAAGGCCTGTATCCGCACTGAGTGCGGAAAAGTGTAACTTTGAGTACCGAAATGCGTGCGGAAAAGTACTACTTTGCGCACGCTCGTAGGAAAAAGGTTTTTCGGACATCTTACGTCGGAAAACGGATGCATGAGACTCCAGCTTAAGTACCTGACCCCTGTTTGTGCAATTGGCGTATTCTAAAACGAAATACTAGCATCTGGTTCCATTAATTTTCAAAGTACGTATTTATTACCGTCATTACTTAGGAATACAAAGGCTCATTAAAATAACCCCGTCCATACAAATCTTTGATCATTTAGCGGCCCTTCCATTATCTTAAACTTCAATTACCTACCTCTCATAATGTCCTTTTATCTTTACGAGCTGACAAACCATTGAAAATTGCGCGTTTTGCACAAATATTAAAAGCCCCAACCTCGGCGAAGCGTTTAATATGAGTGTCCCAAATTAATTAGGAATTTCCAAATGATAATGCCAATCACATACGTAAATGACAGGTGACATATAAAGACATGGTAAATTAATCAACACGTCTAATGCAGACTGTGCATATGCACCTAAAGCAAAACCGAATGATAATAATTAGGAATTTATTTGTGCCAAGCTTGAACGTCATATGGTTAAAGTACATAAACCAATTTTGCTTCTAAAGATTGAGGACAATAATTTTTCTAAACTTGTGCCAAGCGAATTTTATTCAATCGTAATAAAAGGGTGAAAACCCACTTCATAATTTATTAAAGTCAGGACAATTCGGAGCGGGATAAAAAACGTTTTGTTGGAAGACACTCGACATTCTGCCCTTGTTGCTATTGTTGTGCCAGGTCAAAATTTATAGTTTATTTGCTTCAAAATTTTAAAAAAATTATTTACAAACGATGCGTTTTTGATTTATAGAACATAAATTCAAATTCTATTATCGTGCTGACTTTGAATTTATGAAAGTATTCCGACAACAATTTATGCCGGATTCAACGGAAAGTAGTAATAGAGGTTTAACTAAGTATAGCGTTGATTGAAAGTCAGTAATCTGAGCAAATCAATGATAAATTTTACAGCTCTTGAAGGTTTTTACAATCTGCGCCAAGAATATGAGCGTCATTATACAAGATGTCTTGAAAAGGTTGCAACTTTGCACATTTGAGAAAACTTTGATGATCTAAGAGTCGAGATCCTCGTAACAATAAAAATCGAAACTCGTATCCTACATCCGTCTGTATGTTTTAGTTTGTTCCCGATACAACGCAATCCACGATCATTTAATGACGCTGTACTTTTTATAGGAAAAGTTCCCTGATAATCTTATACTAAATATATAATATAAGCGACCAAATTTTATCTAATACACAATTCAGACCGCATCTCTATGAAACCGCTTTATGGTTTGTTTATGCTTTATCGACGAAATATTGTCTCTTTAGAGGCAAAAGTTTTTGACTTGTTGTCGATTTATTATTTCAGGTGCCCCCCAAGTGTTGCGACACACAGCAACGCCGGAAATCTTCGTCGAAAGTGGACAAACCGTGGATCTCAGCATGGTCGTTTGCGCTGATCCCAGACTAAGATCGATTGCCTGGGAATGGGGCTCGCTCAGACTGGAAGCCGGCAATGAGATGGGTGAGAATTTTTCTAAAAAGCTTTTAACAAAATTACTATAGGCATTTATTTTCAAGACAAAATCATAGTAAAAGAGAATAGCCTCGACTGCTGCATAAAACTTGCTTCTTAGCATATAATGTTTTCCTGGAAATGAAAAATGTAACGTAAAAATGCTGTCATTGAAGTTTTATTTTTATTTTAAATTTTGTGCTGCCACTTTTGAGCAAATTAGTTTCCCAGGAGTATGTACTTACTTATAAAAATATTTTCTGGCTTTTTAAAGCAGAGATCATTGGCCTGAAAAAACTAGTCTATATACTCTCGTTTATGAAAATTGGATCCACATACAGAGATGGACAAAGCCAAGGGTCATTGTCTTTTGATTTGATGAAATAAAATAGTCGAGTGTCTTCACATTTGAGCAAATTATTCACTGAAGAAATTACTCCTTATTCCACTTGGAGTATGTAGAATTGAATTTTATATGAATATGTAGCGACATAATATGTATCAAACTAAAATTATTAAAAATCACCTTTATAAAATTTCATCTGTACACTAACAAATGAAATATATATAGGGTGTAAATTTGAGAACTTTCAATGTGAATATCTTTGAAAGTAAAAAAATTTCAACAACGTTATTTGGTACAAATGTAGAGGGAAATAGAACCATCATATTTTGGGTATGGGGTGAGTGACCCCTTGGGCCCATCACCTTAACCTCCAACCCCAAAATTTTAAATGATACTTTTGCAGATCAGTGGATTGGGAGAAGAGGTCCAATGGAATATGGCCGGCGAGATCACCAGATCTAACACCCATCGACTTTTTTCTCTGGGGCCACTTCAAAAGTGTTGTGTTTAAAATGCAACCTGCAGCTTCACTCGATGATCTTCGGCAACGGATTATTACAGAATGTGAATCTATGCCAAGAGAATTGTTTCAGAATGTAGGAAATGAGTTTGAAATAGATTATATTTTTGTTTAGCCCAAAATGAAATGCATTTTGAGCATCTAATTAAACAAAATAGCATTTCATAAAAACAGGGTTTATTTCATTTGAATTGTAGTTTTTGTTCGGCCCGGTATTAAATTTAGAAAAAATTCTTGTGCAGGTGGATACTACTCAAAAATATTCAATTTTAGGTATCATAAAAGAGATGTGCGATTTAAAATTTTGCGGTTGGGGTGCATGGGGTCCAAGAGATCACTCACCCCCTAACCAAAATATGGTGGTTCTAATTCCCCCTGCCTGTATAACATTTGTAATAAATTACGTTTTTCTAACTTTTTTACTTACAGAGGTATTCACATTGAAAGTTTTCAAATTGACACCCTGTATATGCAACCCATATTAGACCCAATTACAAGGACCCAAGGCAGGAGCTTGAAATTGATCATGAGAATGCGAAAACTATTTGAGCAATTTTAATGATGCAACAGTTATCATGTGACGATGACTGACAAAAAATAGAATGTAAATCAATAGTCGGACACAGTACAGCTAGATAAAGATAACGTTAAAATAAAACATCTAAATTCCGGACTTAACAATTAGAGCCGATAAAAACTATGGCAATTTATTTTAGATTTGTGCTAATCATTATATGTATAAATTATTTCAGGAAAATTCAAAGTGGACGACGTAACTCAAGAAGAGGGAGAAGACTGCTATTTAACCACACTTCACGTCAAAGATACTTCAGCGACAGACTCGAAAACCTATTATTTGCTCGTGGAAAACGACAAGGGCAGGGATACGCATGCCGTTCAATTATACGTGAATGGTGAGTGGACTAAATATTAATTATCCGAAAGCAAAAGCTTTACTCTTCTGAGCGGTGATTTTGCTGTTATTTTAAATTTTTGCCTTAATTTTTATCGCTTTTAGGCCACAGCTGAAAGAGTAGAACGAATGTTTTGAAATTTCAAAACGTGCGCTTCAATTTGGAATATTTGATAGCAAAGTTTATGATACACAGATCATTCAGAATTTTAAGATTGAAAGAAAGAAAGCTAGTCATTATTCTTTAGCCTTCCGGCAGCCTTATTCTGTAACTTGCAACCGCAGAGAATTGAGCAATTGTTGCTGTCAAGTCGTTGTCAAACGCGAGTTTTCCATTCAAAAAAAGCAACTTGCGACCGGTTGCTGTTTGCTATCTAGTTTCGTAGAGAATAAGCCTGCCGGACTCTTGAAGGTCGTGGGACTCTTTAAAATATACTTCATGGGCTTCAAGTGTTTTCGAAATTTTGAAGTAAGAAAAAGTCGAAAATTGCACGTTCTGCCGGATTCTATTTTACGAGTCGAGTCGTAATTCGTATCGAATTGGCAAAATAGCGATTCTATTTTACGATATTTCAATACGTATTACACGGTACGTCCGGAGCTGTCGTATTCGATATCTAGACAATCCGACTCGATTCGTAAAATAGAATCCGGGGGCTCACACTCGCGTCTGAATACTCCATTCCACATTGATACGTTATACGAACTGTCAAATTCAATTTATAACCATGTTCTATTCTAAATGACTTGTAACTAACCCAAACTAACCCAAACCCAAATACATATTCTTTTGGATCCAGTGGCGTATCCAGGGGGGGGCAAAGGGGGCAATTGCCCCCCCCCAGAGCAACAACCTTTTATTTCTTAAAAATATTCCAAATAACAAAAAATTATTTTTGTACTCGCGTACGTGAAGTTATTACTTCGCACAGTCATTTGCGTGCGCAAAGTTGAACTTTGCGCACGGAAACTCTTTGCGCAGTCCTTTTTGTTTCACATAATTACAGTATTTATACGCAGTGATTTATAATCGATTTTTCATTGTTTTGTGGGTTCCTGGATAAACTAATTCAAAAAGAAGGGCTTAATGTTATTTTTGTTCCAAGAAAGGCATTCAGGTAATGTTCAGCTTTTTAATCTGACATTTTCCGTATTAGGGGAGCAAAAATCCAGCAAAAAAAGGTGTGAGGTCAGGTGACTATTGGTGGGGAGGCACCAACTCACATTCCTTTGGAGTATCAGATCATAAAAGTTAGACAGTAAGTTATACTCCTCCATATACTTCCCAACTTAATGGTGTTGCGAAAAGCAGTCTTACTGTTTTTGCGGGAAAGTATCACTTTGCGCACTTGTTACAAAAATAACTATTTTTATGTAGGTATATAATACACACCTTTAAATCTAACTTCAGGTTGGCTTTGTGTTTTGTGTTATATGTTACTTGTTTCTTGAAAGTCGATTTCTCACGAAAATAAATAATTTCAGTTATAAATCTCTTATCGTTTCAATAAGCAGCCCAAACATTTTTTCAGTGGCGGCTCGCAGCCTAATAATACGGAACCATGGCACATGGCACTACCCTATTTTTCGGTAAAAATATATTTTTTGTCCCATAAAATATTAGAAACGCGCGAATATGCCATCAAGATGTGAGATTTTAACGACTTTTGGGCGTGGCACCCTGGTTTGGCCCCCCTCCCAGAGCCTCAGGCTGGATACGCCACTGTTTGGATCACACGAAAATTCGTTTTTGTCTTGGAAAGAGCAATCAAAATAATAGTCGAGGGAAAGTCGTCGTCCCGAGACAAATGGAACGTTTCAAAAAAAATGAAAATATTGAAACGGCCAGTTCTGACCGAGGAAGTAGTAATAGTAAACATTTCTATTCAAATTTTCTCTGGGAAATATTTTAATTTCTATTTTCTATAATCAGCGAACGAGCGTCCTTTTTATTGATTGCAGTATTTGGCGAATTGAAATTTTATTATGCTTTAATGAAATTTTATTTTCAGAGCCACTACAAATGAGCACTCTGGTGAGCGTGGCCGGTTCCCTATTAGTAGGTTTCCTTCTGTCGGTTTGCGTCTGCATTTACGCAATCAGAGCGGGAAAATGTTGCTTTTCAAGTAAGTGATGGTATTTATGGCTATAAAAAAGTCTCAATTGCTCCAAAAACTTTACCAAGCAAAAATGTGAGATTCTGAGGGTCTAGTAGTTAAATATTTGATGCTGTGCAGGAAATATGCAAATATTAAGTGGACTGTATAAATGGTGTAATCAAATCGATCGCGATATGCACAAAATTTGATTTTAATAGTTACTCACTCACCTTTCTTGAAGCGTATCACTAAATTCTTGAATAAGAGGGCCCTCTGGAACACTTCCTTTGGGTTGCTCAATCCACCCAGCACCATAGTTGAGTTAGTAAAGGTTTTTCAAAAATTCCGAAAATCCGAAAGCCGAAAATTGTTTTGTCACCACAAATTAAAATTACGACAAAAGGTAAGGGTAAGAAAAGTTGCATGCCCTTTCACAAGCGACGGTACTCTCTGGCGCCTTGTCGGACGGGTTCAATCGCAGTGATTTTACTATTTTTAGGATCCGTATGTAGTACCGAAAAGATACATGTTTTGCGCTGTTGACGCATGTGAGTTTTACCATTCAAACCTGTGCATATTATCAAAAATAATCAATGCTATGCGCGCGAATAATAATCTTCAAATCCAAAAATATTGTCACCAACGATAAGATGCCAAATTTAGTTAAACCAACCTTAATTAATAATAACACGCTTACATAAATTTAATAAAGATTCTTCAACAGATGCAGATGATATTAACTATTCAAAAACGTTTAAAGAACAAACAAATGAATGCATTTTTTAGTAGACTTAAAAAGTTTTAGTAATACTTTACTTTCATAGAGCCGTTTAAAGTATGAAAATAAGAGATCGTTTTTAATATTTCCAACGTGAAGAGACAAGTTAATAACGAGCCTTATCGTAACCGTTGATATTTGCGACCCTTTTTTTTTTAGGGGCAAAATGGACACATAGAACACGTTTGCGAAAGATATTTGCGGATAACAAAACGGTGTCGGGTTGACGTTGTCACGAGAAAAATAGCTTCATAAAGTGAAGATAATCATTTGGATGAGGGTTTTATGGAGGTTCAGAAAAAAAATCCATTCCAGGAATTATGTCAGTGATGATTTTTGGAGCCATTAAGGTGATGTTGTTTATTCTGAATTTAAAGCAATCTTATCATCATCCAAATGCATTAGCGAAGTTTATTGAAACTGTAGAATAATGCAGTAACACATTATTCCAAATTTATTCAGTTATCATTGCAAGTATTTATACATGATAGAAATCTATTACAAATAAAAAAAATTGTAAAAATTTGGTTTGTTCCAAAGTTTCAAAAAAGTTACATCTATTAAATTATCATGTGAAATATCTGGCAGCAGTTTCCTGATAGGTAGCGGAAGCTTCATTGCAATTTAACTTGCCCCTATAAGCTAATTTCACAGACTCAATTTTATCTGTCTGAAATTAAATTAGTTTAGACATATAATTCCGAAATTCGCTTATTTATCTATATCTATAATCAATAAACAATATTTTATTGTATAACAAAACGATATTTATTGCCTTGCCAGCTAAACTTTATTGCCAGTTAATATTACAAAAATCGATTTAATTATTCTTTTCCACAGATTCAAATTTAAGAAAATCGGCAAGTGGTTTATAGAGCCAATAAAGATTTTCTTTTTAGCTTTGAGATTATCTCGACAATCCCCATTAGCAATGTAAAAATGCGTAACAAGCTCCATTAAGGGTTTATCAGCCTATTTGAGCCTAAAATGGGGGAGCGTAAATTGCAGGATAATTATTAGACTATGCGGAGTACAATAAAAATAAAAGTTTGCTTTATTAAACACAATTTTAGAAAGTATGACATGCATTAAAGATTATTTCAGACAGAAATATTTTGTTTGCGAACCACTCATTTGAATGCCTAAGAAGCTCTCGAAAAATGCGATTCACAAACTTTCTAAGTTTTCAATTTAGAGCGATGCGAACACAAGCTTTATAATTAAATTCTAAATCTATGGTCTCCAATGTAGTTTCCTTGATTTCGAGTCGCATCTTGCCGAGTTAAATTCCTCCGAGGGATAGTTCAGCGAGCCGATCAAGCCGTTCGTTACATGCTATCCAGGGATGAGTTGCAACGTTTCAGCAAATAGAGTTTTCGTTCGGTAGGTAAATGGACTAGAAAAGCTCGATAGTAACGAGACGAAAAGTTTGCCATTGATATAAATATGAGCAAATACATATTAGAGTAATAGTGTTCCTTTATTAGACTATAATATCGAGGCTATTTCTGTTCTATTAACAACAAGCAATAACTTGAGCAGATGCAGTGCCATTCATGTTTGTAATCTTAAAAGTCAATACAAGAAAAATTGGTCATTAATTAATAACTAAAATCACCAATAAACACCCCGGTGAGAATATTCAGCCCCTGACTTTTTTTATTCTTCTGAGGGGAGACCTATATCTTTCTAGTTACGTAAATAAATTCAGGTTTACCTTAGTTTACTCATACTTTTTAAGGGTTTGATACCATTTTATTTATGTGTTTTGTTAACTTCCAATTCGTAAACACTTTGTCCTCATTTGGATCGAAAATAAAAACTAGCAAAATTTGTCTATTGGCAACTAAAATCATTAATAAACGTCACCGTGAAAATAAGAACCCCTATCATTATACCACAAAGTTTTTTAATAATTACATTTTTCTGCGATTGACAAGAAATGTCAACATTTTTGACCGGTTAACAGGTCACAAAACTCAATGAGGCCTATGATTGAACGTTTACGTTATCCGTAACGTACATGTTAAGCCGGAATTTAACAGCAACGAGGCAAGTTCGTATGATGGAAAGTTTTCCATAACACATTACTGTTATTTTCCGCCTGTTATGTCCTAATTTAAC